ACAGCAAACACAGACAACAACCAACAAACAGCCAACCAACCAACAACTAACATTGATGATCGATGCAAACCTGACAATCCTGCAAGAGGTAGACATTTGACCATGGAGACTGTCCTTGGGAAGTCCGTGTTTTTGCATAAGTCCCTTCGTCCCGAGAACCGCTGGATGGCACGAAGCACGGGGGGTCGATGTTTTGGGTGCTGCGAGGCTGGGAACCACATCAGCAAGCACCATCCATATCATCATTCTTGTTTCTAATAGCTTCTTGCTCCTAGTAGTAAGGCCAGGAGCCCCTAGTAGCGTCCTTGCTCCTAGTAGCGATGCCAGGAGCCCCTAGTAGCGTCCTTGCTCCTCTACCCCATCCATTTATGGAACTCCAAAAATATGAGATACTGCTTGTGTTGACCTTGTTTGTGTGGTGCTGCCGTGGCCTCCAGCATGTTTAAGCTCCTGACTTCAACTCCTTTCTTGTAAATTGACCATTTCCAGTGGCATCCAAGGTAATTGAGGCTTGTGGGTGAAGGAACCCTTCCTTCCACATACCCTGTATAACCCGCACCAAGGCCCAGTCCGGTGGTACAGAAGATGCGAGAGGTGCGGTGGTTTGTGTGGTTTTGGATCTTGGTTTCCCAAACTCAAGTCTCAAAAAAAGCTGTGGCGGGATTTTAACAAAGAGTTTCTGCTTGGGAATAATAATATACATGTATCTAGAAAAAACATATATATATATATGGTTGTCGATCTAAAGGTCCTAGTCAGCAGTGTGTATGACGATGACCCGGAACATATCAAAATCTCATTTGGCGAAAGTTTTTTCTCGAGTTGGCGAAAGTAAAGTTTTTTTTGGCGAAAGATCTGGCGAAAGATTAAATATGTACTTTTGTATGAATGTTCATTTGCTTTCTGAACAGCTGGTGGCAGTGACTCAGAAGCTAGATGAGCTGTGGAAGTTAGATAACCTGCTGCTGCTGCGGTTGCTACTACTACTACTACTACTACTACGACTACCACTACCACTACCACTACCACTACTACTACTACTACTATTATACTACTACTACTACTACTACTACTACTCCTGCTCCTGCTTTGGGGGGTGGCTTTGCCACAAAACTCTACCCCGCAAAAGGCGAAAGTTTGGCGAAAGTTCAGCTCAAAATTGGCGAAAGTTCACCCTGCCACATCTGACCCCCAGCCCATTATGAGTAAGTTTGAGTGACCGGCTACTACAGTGATTCTTGCAATTTTGATTCTTGCTGACACCCAGGAGAAACAAAAGAGACGTACAGGGTGTCAACAGTTAAGTAGAAGACGACACATGCTGACAAACAGTGAAGTTTCTATTTTGTGTTTGCCAGTAGTGAAGAAGCCATTGACGTGAACAAAACACAACATACATGGCACACATAAATACAACGTACTTCGGCGAAAGATAAAACGCAGGAAGGCGAAAGTTTGGCGAAAGTAATTTTGTTTTTTGGCGAAAATGACGGATCCCGGATAAAGGAATTTAGATCAACTCCCATATATATAGTGAGAGAGAGTGGTGTGTTGTTCTATCCATTTCCAGCCAAAAAGTGTGTTATGTGTCTATATGTTTCATGTTTCTTGAACAATTGTTCGTTCAGGCAGATGTTTCTGAGGACATGTAAATTAATCATATTCCCAAGTGACAATTGAATTGGACCTTCCAAAAGTGCAATTGAATTCTCCTGGACATATACCTCATTATCTTCGCGGAGAAAGACCGGGAAGGTGTAACCATGTAAACCGTCATTCTCAGAATCTTTCGAAGAACCTAGATCTCTTTGGATCCTCTGGGCCCTGCAGGTCCTGTTCTCTGGATTGGAGCTTGCACAAAACATTGTGGGCAATAAGGAGCAGCCTTTGGGCACTTGAGACTTGGGGAACATAGTAGCTTCTTGTTACTAGTAGTAAGGCACTTGTTACTAGAAGCGATGCACTTGTTCCTCGTAGCTTCCATGTTCGTCGTGTAAAAGAGGCAATGCAACAACCATGCAACTTCTAGGGCGACACCCACCATCATAGGCACTCCACTGACCTAGCAAACTGCGGAAGAGTCAATCATACAAGGATGCGTCCACATTCCTTAGCAGAGTGTAATTACTGTACAAAGAGAATCATCGTGTTTTCTCTTTGTTCTGATGGGTTTGTTGGTCCTCATTCTTGTCACCTGGCATGCATCCCTGCTCAACACTCGCATGAATAGAGCAGCAAAGATGTCAAAGAAGTGGGATTTGGATGGATTTGGAGATTCAGATGTTTTCAGAGAATCTGATACTGTTCTTTTGTGCTCCTGGCGAGGAGACCGGTGGCGGAGACGAGTTTTACGAGGCATGATCGAGAATGAACAGGTGATCGACCGAATTCGACCGAGTCGTTTTGGGGAAAGGCGGACGAAAAGCTCTGGAACCGCAGAGCAAGTAGTCCACCATGGTCAAAGGGTCCATGTATGCCAGGAGTTTTCGCATGTTTTCGCTTGTTAGTCCAATTGCAAAAGAGTGCACTCTCATGACCCCAGGACACCCCCCAACGAAAGGTTTCTTTGCGAAAGCTATGAGAGAGCGCACAACGATGAAAGAGATACCCAGCCGGCATTCATGGGCACTGGTCCCGCAATGCAAAGAGATGAGAAGCACCTTCTCCGACCTTCTCTAGGGCAAGGGGAGCTTACTAGTAATGACATGTATCTAGGCAATGAGCTTCTATTAGCCCTTTCACGTACGTTCCTAATACTTCATATTGTCTCCTTACACCAAATCCAAATTGTCCAACCTCAGGAAGCAGGCGACTGCAGCAAAAGAACCCGAAAACCATCTATATACATTATTCTACATTGTCAGACATCATGAACACTCCATTCCAACGGTCCTCCAATCGTCCAGACCGCTCTCCGTCCGCTCCGTCAAGTCTGGAGGCCTTCCTGGCCGCCGAGTCGCAGGGTGCCATCGTCCCCCGTGGCACACATTGGAGTGGACAAAACACGGACTCGCTCGAAACGACCAAGCGGAGCAAGGCTTTCTGAGTTGGGACTCGAAAGGTCCAAACCGCAGCGAGTCAGTGTTGATGGAACCCCTGTTGGACGAACTCCTGCCTTTTTGGTAGAAGCGTGAGCATCGGATGAGCAGTGTGGGTGCTAGGTGGTGCAGGTTGGTGTCCATCAGCAGTGGGTCTGGGGTACTCTGGGGTCCCGTGATTATGGGAAAGAACCAAATGGCGCAAATGAATGGGCTGGCTCAGAAATCACCAGGAATAACTATTTTGGCCATTTGTCCTTTGCCCGGCGGGGTTGGGGGATGGCTTACCAGGTTCAAACATCCTCGGACCAAAAGTCCTTCTAAAAGCGATTTCCCTATACTTGTATTCTAACGTTGCTTGCTTACTTGCGTGTGTTTTTGTATGTATCTCTATTGTAGATATATGATATAGTTTTAATTTATTCGATTGGAGTTCATGTGAGCATAACCATTGTGGTTCTTGCTGGTCGGTGTATACAATCCATTGACGTAGTGCAATTTTATGTGGCGGTACTTAGTAACTGACTGTCATGTAATTACAAGATACGCACAGTCACATGCCTGTTGCTCCACAACGCGTGCGTGTCCCAGAGTGCAGCATCGCAGCTGAAGTAAGCAGCCTAATACGAGGAAGGACAGGGCCTCCAAAAAGGTCCGGAAGCGGCTGGAGCAGATGGCATGACTTTCACCCTATGATTTACATCAGGGTGTAACCTATGGTGTTATGACTTTCACCCTATGGTTCTGAATTCTTCACAACACTTTGCAGCCAACATTTGCGCCACTTCTTTTTTTACATCGCTGCAGTGAAAACACGCAGGGGTTTGTTCGGTGTGCCCCACACTGTCCGCTTCGTTGTGTGTGCATTGCCAGGTGGTGCCGGGGGATTTGCAAATCACCAACGCTTTGGACAGTTGGGGCACCCCAGTCGAGTTGATCAATGGGAACCCGGTCGGGCACCGGTCGGGCCAACGGAGGAATCAGATCAATCAGCGTCAGCATGAATGAGTGCAGCAAGTGCGACGAATGCCCGAATCTAATCTTGGTCTTTCGGTGTCAGATATAGTATTAGAAACATTTAGAAACTAGAATTAGACACCTGAGTCAACCGCAGACTTGTATCCCACCTTCACTGCAAGCTAGATCCACCCTATACCCGTGCTAATCCCTTCCCTGAATGAATAGCTCCCCTTAGAAGATGAACCATTTTGTACCGTACCCAGGCCGCCACTGAAACACCGCCACCTGGCTGTACAATGAGGTTTGGTGCAGGCGATTCGTCAGGGCTTCACACAGCCTTTCCAGCACATTGTCAGAGCAGCCCAGTGGGATGTGGCTTGGGATTTTGCCATAGTTTTGGTGCCCAGACCATTTGATTGGGAGGGAAGGGAACTTTGACCTGAATCCAGCCAGCTGGCCCTTCACCGGAGGGTGTTCGACACTTCTTTTCTGCGTGTCCAGCTTCACACGATGTTCTGGACCAACGTTCCGGTCGGCTGGGCCAATGCTGGGTTTGTCCTTGATGGATGTAGAAGAAAGGCTTTGAAAGAGCAGAAGCACTTTTCTTCGTGCCACAAGGGGTGTCAGAAGTTGGATTTGACGGAGTGTCATCCTGCTTGGGACCATTGTGTTGATGTCCTCTTGGGACATTTCATGAAACGTCCAAGCAAAGACCAGGTGCTGAGGGAATGCATATTGCCAGGAAGTGCCCGGTTGCATGCCAAGACCTGAATCCTACCGGACTCCTGCGCCGATGGGTTTGTCTGCAAAAACGGTTTCACAAGTCTTCCCGGAGCAAGGATTATTCTCTATGGTTTGTGAAAACGACAGCACTATGTACTTCAATTGACCATTTAAGTTGCCTGTTGACCATCATTCCCTCAGAAAAGGTTGTCTATCTACCAAGGCAGCTGGAAGCACTGCTTTTTTCCGCGCTTTGGGAGGCTTTGTCGGAGGCTCAGCCCTGCGGTGCAGTTTTTGCAAAGATGACAACCACAAGCAATACTTCTTGCATAGCTGTACTACTGTAGGTGGGAATATGTAGGATTATGTAGGCATTTCCTCAATTCTGGCAATCTAACTACTGGTGTTCGGTGCCTCAGATTTTGTTGCAGTGACAGAAATAGCTCAAAAGAGCACGCGAAGACATAAAGCCGATAGATGGACCCCAAGATCTATTTGACCACAGCAATTCTTATTGCTTGCATCCATGTGGTTTTTGCCTGATTTTGCTGCTACTGTAGCTACATGATGCAATTATTGGTCCTTTCAATTGCCCTGCGGTCTGTGTTGACCGGAGACTGACTGGTGGCCACGACCCGAGATCCGGCCAGCTTACGGCGGCCATGCAGCGAATGCCACAGGCATAGGTGCCACCGCACGGTCCAGCCATCGGGGTGGGCCAATGATCAGCTTGGAAAGGGAAGACATCACAGAAGAAAGAATTGATCATTGAACAGACTCGAATAGACTTGCTTGGTGTTTGTTTTGTTTTTTCCATCTGGAAGAGCACAATGTTCATCGGTCACCTGCCAGCAATGCCTATGGCGCTCTTGGCGGATGGTGGTTGGCGTGCTCTTCCTTTGGCGCGAGCCACAGCAGTAGGCGCCCATTGAGCAACTTGCTCTACTGCTCAGCCCTGCTCCAATTGGCCAAGCGCATTAAGCTCTGTTAACATTTTAGCAACATTAGTCAACTCATTGTGTGACACATTTCACTTGCCCTACGTACGTGGGGAGAAAGGTCAATTGTCCGCTTCTCTTGATTTCTCGATGTTCCTGTCCTCAATGACGCATGTGTTTTGATTGCAGCCTTGATTCTCGGACAAGCCCTCGCAGAAAGCAACCTGTTCGCTTCCTCATGTCTTTGACAGTGAGAAGACTTCTCCCAGCTTAACCAGTTCAACCTGGAATCTCCTTTTACAAGAGCAGATGAATTAGAGATGCAATGATACAATCCTGCACCAAAGAACGATTTGATGATCAGCAGCAGGCTTTGTCGTGGTGAACGCTTTGTCCTTTCTCATCGGAGGACGAGTGCGTATCAGTTTTTGGGCCGTGGGGATACAGCGATTTGCACGTCATGATCTGGCCAGGGCATCGCTTCGTCCAAGTCTTGAAGAGTGGATGGACATGTGACATGATGAAGACTCCCACATTTTTTGTGTGTTTCCAACCCGTTTTGAAATGTTTTGAACCACGTTCACTCACTGTCACTCCTCCTTTATTTATTCCCTGTTGGAGCTTGGTGTGTTTGGAGCTACTATAAGCTCCCTTCAGCTCCCTTCAGAGCGCTCCCACCTCAGGAAATGGCATGGAGACGAACATTGAAGGTGCAAATGGCGTGCTTTGGGCAGTGTGCAACAACAGCACCCCTGAGCTGGCCCACTCCATGAACCCCAAGTGAAAGCTTGTGGTTTGTAAAGGAATGTAAAGGACAAGCGTTTTCAAAGCGGATCCATCTCTCTAAGGCTAGAACACCTGGCAGTTGTTGGGCTTACAAAGCGGACTAGAACAAGCTAGAACACCTGGCATAGCACCTCCATTGAAATCCTCCGCTGATTATGGTTGTGCGTGAAGCCTTTGCAATTTTCAATCTTATATAGGCTCTAAACCGCAGGGAGTGTTCCTTATTCCTGATCAGCTGTGACCACCGGTCGAACTGTGGGGACCTGTTTTCAATGACCGGTCGAACGCCAGGGCTTCAGCGCATGGATTTGCAAGGTCTCGCAGATGTGGTCAGGTGGCCGAACCGGAACCGAGGGAACCGGCACAGCGGCTGCACGAATTGCGCGGTTGGTGGATCACCCTCCCCACCGAACAGTTCCGTTGGAATTTCAAGAACACTGCAGGAGCCCCTAGTAGCTTCTTGTTCCTAGTAGTAAGGCCAGGAGCCCCTAGTAGGGTCCTTGCTCCTAGTTGGAAAGACCTAGGACCTACTGGCTTCATCGAGTCAGGGAGGCTAGGTGTGAATCCAGTCCCGGCTTGTACCATAGCCAGACTGCAGGTCGATGGTGTAGAACAAGTGACCTCAGAGGTACTGGTACCACCAACACCTTGGCTTTGTTGGGGCTTGGGAACATCTGCTTGATGAGCTTCGGCGCTTGACAAGAAGTGCCAACTGTTAGTGTTAGCAGTCATATGCTGTCAGGAGGTTTGGAAGCTGTAACACTGTAATGTGGATGTTTGGTGGGGACAATGTCCCATTCACATCACCTGATACCATCGATTTCAGAACATTGTGTGGCTGCAATCTGAAAGACTTGACCGTTGTTGTCAGTTGAACAAGGCACGAGGGATGCAATGTTGTTTGCAATGTAAGTGAGCCTCCCAAAAGCTAGCAAAGATGACTGGTCGGGGGTCTACCCGAAGAGGAAAATCAAGACAAGGTATCAAGCTTGCTTTGGTTTGGGACGGACACCGAGTGAGGGGTTTGAAGCGCTGACCGCCAACTTTCCTAATTCCGCATTGACAAATGTAGACACCACTTAGTGTCCTGGGGCGTTCACTATCTTGAATCCATTATAATAATTTACCTCTTGACATTTGCACCTGTGCGGCCGTTCTTCAAGCAAAACAGCTTGCTTCAATGGTATGTTCAGGGCAAGCACCATGGACTCCTAGATGGTTATTAAAAGAGCCAAATGAGTTTGGTTCGTGGACCTTGTGTCTTGTACCGATTCTCTTGTGTTTCCCTCAAATTGTGTATAGTATACATAGACTATACCACTCCCCACCACAATCTCAAGGAGTTAGCGTGAGCACACAGACCTGGTGCTGACTTGGTGTTTACTGTAGGGAACAAGCAAATCAGCAGAGGATATGCTTTTCTTCGTTTGGATGAGCACACGAGCCAGTACAAGGGGTGTGAGTGTGAGATAGTGTGGGCATATATGCCAGTTTTATGAATAGCATATCGAATGTGCGCGTGGCCGTCTTCAGACGCTCAGGCCATTGCCCTCTTTGGTCTTGTCGTTGCGCTGGTGAGCTCCCCAATGCCCGAAAGTTGTCGGCTTCACAGTTCGTGGTGTTGGAAAGTGTTTGATGTGCAAAGACTACTCATGACTACTCACCAGTTTAGGATTTTTTTGACGTTGGGGAAAAACATCATCCTGCATGTTTTCACTACAGAATGGGACGGGTTGACCACTGGAATAAGGCTATTTTTTGCTACAACAACGTATCCTGCATTTCCAGGGTTGGCATTTTGTAGAGGGGAAAAACGAGCGCACCCAGAATAATGCTGAATAGCAGACTTGTGATTCTGTAGACAAATGTGGTCATTCCGAGTCATTCCCATTTTAGCTGGATTTGAACTCGCCGGTTTGCATCTTGTAGAAACCTTTGCATTTTGTAGAGAAAGTAGTGCAGGAGGATCTTTCAGGGGGGATGCAGGATTGTTGTGGTGTTTTTATGTACACGGTATGCGCGCAAGACCGGCAAAATGACACACTCGAAAACACCAATCTTGCCAAGAATGGTCTGTTATATATAGCTAGTGCTGAAGTTACCCAGTTCTGCTAGTGCTTGTTCCGCACCCGTTTGCCCAGTTTGCCATGTCTGCTAGTGGTAGTGGTGGTATGTGACGTTTCTGGTGTCTCCCTTTCCAAAGTCTTGGTAGTTTCAGCCAGTGTTGAGTTGGCTCGCTGGCTCTACAAAATGACACTATAGAAAGTGGGTCGTCATGTTCATATTTGCCAATTTGCATTCTACCTGACTTGCAAAACTGGTACCCTCTATAGAATGTATCAGGGACCGTTTTTGTTATTTTTACATAATTTTATCATCTTTTTTTCTATCCCCTTTCAGAACCTTCCCATTTTGTAGAGTGTGTCCCTGTCCCTAAATGCCCTTGTGCGTGGCGTCTTGTAGAGACTCGGTGGTTACCAGTTTGTGATTCTGTAGGCCTCTGGAGAACCATTTTTTCGTGTTATAACTACAGAATGCTTAGCACAACCTATCCTGGCTAACTCACAGGGGGATGAAAAACATAGAACGTGCCATCGTCACATGCCCAAGATACCAGCTGTTCAGTGATGTTTCAGCTTTTTGAGTACGCCTTTGTCAGAGGGAGAGAGAGAGAGAGAGAATTGTAGGGCTTCAATGTGCAGAAATGACAGGTGTGCAAGTAGTAGGTGTTGGCAAACTCATCAAACCATGTCAGGTAATGAGCGGAAGGTCTTCTCCTGTTTCTCTTCACCGCACATACAGTTTTTGTGCGTGTTTGTTCATGCTGCTTACTCTTTACTCCTACAAAATAGTGCAGATAACAGCATCCATAAAGATCAGTGCTGTTAGAATGGCCTCATCCCAAGACTGATTGCAACACAAACATTGTGTATATATAACAATAGATAATATATATCAATATTTGGTTTGTTGATTGTAGGCCAAGATACTTTCCAACATATTCAGGAGACCTTCCAAGTGTTTTCTGTGGAGTACTGTAGAGTAGGGAAAGCAAACCGGACACTCACTAGTCGAAGGTCTCATGCCGTTCCAAAAAATTGTGCACCACCTGGGATGCCCTACAATAGTGCATTCATCGTCGAATAGCAACTATAGAAGCCAACACCATTTTTTGGACGCGGGTGCAGTTCAGTATCTGACGCAAAATACCCTTCTGGGGCCACAAAGTGCGTCGCTCGGCTCGTCGAACGGCACCAGATCATGGGAAGCTCCTACATGCTATCTTTCTTGGAGTCCAGAGACTTGCATATGGCTGCAAGGTGCGGGCGCAGGGCTGAGCGTGTTGGCGCTAGAGAGCAAGGCGCTAGAGAAAAGCCCCGATCACAGGATTGTTCCAAGATTTTGTTCCCTCATTCCGAACACAGCTTATGATCAGACATACTGTACATCAGACATTTTCGAGCAAAGCCACCCTGAAAAGTGTCCGGGTATTCATACAGCACGTTCGTCAGTTAGATTACCACCATTCCCACTTTGCACTGTCAATCTTTTCCCCCCCTGCAAGCAGCCAGGCTTTTGCAAGTGGCTGACCTGATGGAGAACCAGAAGGTGCGATAAATGATTGGCTGACCTGGTTGACACTCAATGACACTCACTGGGAGATACCATGAGATACCCTTCTTACGGCCTGATAAGAACTTGAACATGGATCCCAAGCCGATCCCAGCCAAGCAGAGTCATATTCTGTGGTCAGGCAGTCGAGTTTGAGGATCCGACAATCATGACTTGTAAGCAGACTTGTAAGCAGGGAACCATGAGGCTCGTTGGAGCCTTGGGGTTCCCATAGCATGTGCCGATGATGGAGTTCCTTAAAAGTTAACTGAATTGGGTTAAAGTCCACAAAGTCTTTGATGCCGCTGCAAGGTCTAGGCCTGCTGGTGGTTGATGTTTTAGTTTTTTGTTGTCTGAAAACATGGGATCAGGTGCAAACACATGCAAACATTGATGGCTGGCATGTTGCAATTCGTTGATCTTGTGCAAAGGTGAGCGGATTGGTCCATTGCAGGCGATGTCCGGCCTGTTCAAAACACAAGTTTGGCAAAAAGTGTGGCGGCGATCAGCAAGTCGGGTGCTGTACGTGGTGGGTGGGCATGGGAGTTTACCAATACTCTTCAGAGGGTAGACTCAGGAGGATGTACTGTCAGTGAGTGTGCGTCTAAGTGAGGAACCCGTTTGCAGAACTTGTAGGTGTATGGTCCCTCTTGTCTTGCCCATTAATGAAGCTAAACTGACCAACAAAGGACATTTTCTTGGAGTTTGCTGATCCTGCCCAGGTGGCTCAAGAGCTCTTGGGCAGCAACGGTGAACGGCTTAGAGATGTTGTGCATATGCATATGCTGTGCTTATTTGGTTTGACGTGTTCAAAGGTGAAATGTTGCGGTTAATGCTTCGAAGCACTTTGGGACTTCAGAGTTTTTGTTGTGGCCCAAATGTCAACGCCTCGAGGCAGAGGTCCTCACCTTTCTGCCTCATGACCAACCCCCTGTCTCACAAGACGGTCCGTTTGATGCACTCTTTTCAAGTATGAAACATGTAACAGCTCCCATCGTGTCTGAGCATTCCATTTTGACTTGATCTGACATTGACGGTTTCTATTTTGGAAGTGAATCAACAGTATTGAAGCTTGACGGAGACGACCCGGTCCATCTAGAAAAGAAGCCATGACCACGCTCCGACACCCAGGCTGCCGAGCCCAAGCCGGACGGCACGCAAGTCTTGCCGCCCGAGGCGGTGGACGGCATCGATGGACATCGAATGGATGGACCACTGGTCTGGCAGACGAGCGAGGTAACGAGCAAGGTATCAATGGTGTAGCAACTACCAAACACATTGTATTATAATACAATGATATACAATGTATCTACTCTGAACGGTTACTGAGTGCCTCACTAATGTGTAGCGGCTATGTCAAGGTTGGCGTTTGAGGATACGCAGGCGTCAGGACTTGGAAGGGAGTGTTGCAGCAGAAGTCGGGTGTAGTACCATGCCCAAGTGCTCCACAACAGCCAGGGTGACCGATCAATCTGTGAGGTCCTCGCACAGGCTGAGCAGGCCGAGCAGCTTGAGCAAGCCCCCCAAGCTGAAGGTGCCGCGGAAGGGGTACTGGTCTCCAAACCGGCAGAATCCTTCAAGATCATCCAAGATTCAAGGGATAAGTTTGTTGGATTTTGACAAGGGCAGATGAGAGCTTGTCAGGAATTTCAAGCTGTCAAGCCTACTTTGCATCTTGACAATCTCTCGTCTGAGGGTCGGATGACCAAGGTAAAGAGAATCTGTAAAGACTTCCCTTGCAGGAAGCTCTTGACAGAATGGCAGAGGGACTAAAGTGAGAGCACTAGTGTAGTGACTATATGTTATTTATTATAGATATTTACATACAGGTAAGAAGCATGCCAGTCCGGCAGGACATGGCCGTTACTCCATGGTATTGCAAGAAGTGACAACTGTAAACGCATGATTAACGACCCCCGGCCTATGAGTTTGCCCCAACTCTTTCCTGCAATATACTATCCGCCCTTCTAAGACCTCCTACCACATTTTCCAGAAGTGGGTGCCCAATATATAACCTCCTCAATTAGTTTGCCTGTGTTTGCCCCACCCTTCTTGTACCCTGTTTTGTACATTTTGTGAAGAGATTTAGTTTTTATAGGCATTAATCACGGAAAGCATGCTGTTTGGTCAGCCGAATGCTGAACCCGGCGCCTGGCTCCTGGCCGAACTATGTGTCGTTCTCGGTTCTGCTGGATGGGGGGGTAAATCGTTTTCTTTGCGAGGTCCAACATCCGTCCGGAAGAGGATCCAAGTCTCAAAGTTCCAATTTCCTGGGGCTGGAATCCAAGCCTCCGCGAGGCCCCGACGTGGGCTGGAACCCGATTCGTCAGCTGGAGTTCCGGAGCAGGCAGGGCAAGGCAGGTGAAACGTAAGGTGAAGACGCGGGAGAAATCTTGGACTCCAACTGATCAGTGGCCAAAGCCTCCCAAGTAAGCATATAATAGTTTGAAGAGATGTCTAGATGTGAATGTAAAAACCTTCGCGAGAGGTAAATACACAGTCGCGAAAGACTTTGTGAAGATTTTACGCGCGAAAGCTTGCGAAAGCCTCTTTTTGACAAAACAAATGTGTACTTCTTTTAGATGCCTTTGCTAACATGTTGTGGTTCTTCCGGTATATCAACTCTGTCCGCGAAAGCTTGCGCCGGTGGTTTTGGGCAAAATAGGGCGCGGGAAAGCCAACACGCAAGTCGCGAAAGTGTTGCGAAAGGAACTTGCGAAGGGTTTGAGCAACTCTCAAGTGCGTCCGAGAAAAACCTTCAAGGCAGTTCTGTTTTCAATTTTGAACAAAGAAGCACTGTTTTGTCAATCTGTTCACCAAAATTGTAAGATCACTCCTCAAACGATTTAATCGATTTGCGAGCCATTCCGTTTGCCACTCATGCCAGTGTGGGTACTGAGTACTGCTATTCATTTAGACATCACTGTTTTCTCAATGCCATCATGCCAGCCAATGTTCACAGAATCGATACGAGACTGAGGTGTTTGTTTGCTGAGGAAGCCTTTAGTTTTTGGTGCGTTAAATTCAACACTATTACATGTCTAAGCAACCCCAGAAGGTAGAGACACAAATTAGTCTTAAGGGTTCTCATCCCATCTCATTCCCCTATTCATACTTGCAGGCCAGTACCACATAAAAAGTCAGCTACATGTTTCTACACAGCTCAAACAGTCAGCCACGTGGAGCATGGCTCGCGAGGCCGATGGAGGCTCCGTCCTTTTGGCATCCGCTTTTCACCGTGAGACGTCCCTTATCCAATGACGAGGCGCAAGATGCCGCGCTGTGCGCGCAGGAAAGTGAGATTTGTTTCCACTTGGGAAATACTGTACATGGAAACCCTGCAAACACCATTTGTTGGTGAGCTCTTCAATTTTACTCATGGGATTTGGGGAAATAATTAGTACAGAATGCAAGAACATGCAAACATTGTTTAATGACGGTTAATGACAGAACCAAGCAGGTTCCGTTTTTTGTCTTGGGGTGGCTTCATTATGGCCACTTGGCTCCCTAGGTTTCCTGAAAAATGAAATTCCAGCCCTCCATAGCCCTCCAGCCTCTTCCATTCTGATGTCACCAGGCTCTGAGAGTGCCCCGGCCCCCACCAGACGAGGTGAGGAACTTCAGCCTCTTTGAGCCACGATTCTTGCGGCTCTTTGACCAACTGAAGGCCGGACGCGGACGAACAGGAGAGACGCCTATGGGGGGTCACAACTGAAGGGCATTGCAAAAAAGCCGAAAGGGCAGCAGGGTCCAAAAGGTTATATACAGTGATTACAGCTGAATATTGTTCAAACCTCAACACCGAAGAGGCCACGGGATAGGTCTAAGATTGAGATGGAATTCTTTACAGAGGAGCTAGTTGCTTTTGGATGCGTTTGGCGCTTTTTGATGCAGGGAAAGGTGCCTAATACGGTCATATTAGGTCGATGATGCAAGCGACCACCGAGCCTCGGTGCCCATAGACTTCGGTCTGTTCAAGCGGACATCTGCGGTCAATAAGGAGAGGGCTCATTCTTTGTATCGAGTTCTTCAAACACCTGGACCCCTTTTGTAGTTGGCTTCCTCATCAAATGCAAGTACGACAGAGAACCTGCATCACAGACCCTAGTTGAGCTATATATATATATATATGGTACCCCCCCCAAATGTCCATATTTTTTAAAATTTTACTGGTATTTGCAGGGATTGTGGGGGTACCATATATATATATATAATCCTAAAATCCTAAGATTTCAGCACTAGTCGGAAATGGCGGACGTAAACTTTCCAGTACTTAGAGAAAAACTTAAAATATTTTAAAATTTTCTCAGAAGTAAGAAGCAAGAAGTAAGATTCTCTAGGAGAGTTCTGTGCAATCTTACTTCTTACTTCTTAGAAAATTTTAAAATATTTTAAAATTTTCTGGAATTCTCTAAGTATTGAAGTCTTCACCGTTTCTGGAGCAGCCGGTTAATCTCAAAGGCATTTTTGCATCCAAAAACCGGCTTCATGGCATTCCATGTGTCTGGGGAAGTCACGGTCTCCAATGACAAGGCGAACCTGGTCCTTAATTTGAAGGACCCAGTGACATACCTGCTCGACATGAAAGCCTTGTGGGATCGCATTAGCACCGGAGAAATTGGTGTGCATCCCACTCGGCAACCGTTGGACAGAACCACTTTGGGAACTTTGATTCACAATATTCAGCGGACTGCCGACTTGAAGCCTACTGGCCTCAAGGGAGCATGGAACCCAAAAGCTGAAGACACCCTCATCCGCATCTTGGCGTCTCCGAAACGCTGCCGTGGAGGGGGACAAGCATCAGCACTTGCATTGCCTCCTGTTCATCCACAAACACCTCAACAAGCACCTCAACTCATCTAAAAAAGTGTTTTTGTCGTCTTTGCATAGTTTCCACTCAACCTCCCATGGGTAGACCGCATCGCATGCCTAAGGCCATCTGCAATCAACATCATTCTGGCTCTTCTTCTACGTCTTCCTCGGAGTCATCTTCCGATTCTTCGGGGACTGGGACGGCGGAGGATGCAGAGATCAAGGGTGGTGTGGCTGATGATGAGGATGTGAAGGGTGAGGAGTCTGAGGGTGAGGAGTCTGAGATGGAAGATGTTGAGGATGAGGTGGGTGCGTGTGTGGAAGTCAAGGGTGGCGATGCGAACCAGGAGGATTCTGTCTCAGGGGAGACTAGGGGACTGGCTCGAAGCAGCTGTCTTCAAGCATCCAAAGTTCAAGCAGATGTCCTTTGACTTTGATGACCTTGGTCAGTCTCTGCAGAGGCTTGAAAAACATTGTGATGATATCGAGCAGCAGTTGCAGGAGAAGAAGGCAGAGATTGAACAGAAAGATCGCATGATTGCTCATTTGTCCGCCCAGGTAGCCCAGTTGCAGGGTGCAAAGTGAGAGGCACTGTCTGTAGGTCTTCACTGCTGCATTGTCTTCCTGAGGGTAAAATAGACCGCCTTCTTTGCGTGAGACCAGTTCTTGTTTTGACTTCAAGCCTGTATATACAAGCTGGTAGATACTGACTTCATTTCAAGGTTGTGACGCATACATTGCCAGGAGGCAAGAAAATTAAAGTAAAGGCAGGCACTCAACACATTGACCGGTGTTGGAAGTTTATCAAGGAGCGTGTGTGTAAAGGCACCCACTCCCGTGCAGGCCTGAAGCGTTTGCATTTCAAAATCCGGGCGGCCCAGTACGAGTACTGGTACCGTGGGTCTGATATGTGGAAATGCACCGGGGATCTCGTGCAGGACCACATGTCAGGAATTGTTGCCCAGCCGTGACCGCATCTGTGCTGAACAAAAAGGCCCTTGCCATGCATATCCCAGGTTGCTGGAAAATCTTCACACAGCATCACTCAACAAAAAAACTTTCTGCAACTTCCCCCCATCTTCAAGGCATGATAGGCCCCACATGAACAACTATATCTCCAAGATCCCTTCTGCTTGCTGGGAAACATTCAACAAAGAGGCATTCTGGTTGGCACCTCCAAAATCATAAGGTTAAATCCAAATACCAAACTTTTGCAAAACTCTGGCTGCTAGTTCCCAAATGAACAACTTATCTCAAGATTCCTATCGCCCAATGCACAATACGGTGACATGCAATTCAACAGACCAGACAAAAAAATCCTCAAAGTGTACCCCCAAAAAATGAATGCCAAAATATCATCAAACCACTGTAAATACTAGTGCAAGCCGAAAAAATGTGGACTTTTGGGGGGGGTAGCATATATATATATATCATTTGGATTTATGGATCATTCTGATCTTGCTTGGCCGAGGGCTGTTTCCGCGTCATATTATACCCCCGCCTCCAACACTGCAAAAAGAGTCGAAGGCAGGCTGTTTGATTGACATGGTGACATGGTTGACTGCGGTCTTTCGATGTCAGTTGGTGTTTTTGTTTCCTGCGGCGCTCCATGTCCCACATCACACAGGAATTGGGGCATGCCAAACCTGGGCTTCGCTTGGCGGTGGCTGGGCACTTAGATAGCCTTTCTGCACATAACAATGGATTGAGGAGGCTTGTACATCAAAGTTGAGCTGTTCCAAGCTTGCTTCTTTTGCAAATGCGAGCTCACACCTGAGGTGCCTCGGACTGCCACGTAAGAATATCAACAACTTGGAACCCTTTTACACAAACGTAAAGAAAAGGAGTACTTTCCAGAGTTAAACATAATTAACTCTAATTCTTTTCAGTTCTGGTATCATTCGAAGAATCAACTCCTGATTTAAATCTGTTCATTTCTGGTATGGTCGCTTGAGGAATTAACTCCAGATATCTTTTCATGGGACGTCGTTGCTGCAGCATGGACTTGTCTACTTTCCTAGTCTCCCAACAGGACTTTAAACATACGTGTAAAGGAATTAGATACAGAGCTATTCCAAAGCTAATTGTATTCTTTGCGTCCCAAACTATAGTTAGTGTCACTGAGACACTGTTCTCTCGCTAGTGTAAACCTGTGTGCTTTCCTAGTCTCCCAAGAGGATTTTAAACAATTTAACCCAGAGTTACTTCTTGTTCTCTGTGTCCCAAACTACAGTGTCACTGAGCCAGCGTCCTCTCCCTGGTGTAAACCTGTGTAGTTTCCTAGTCTCCCAAGAGGGTTTTAAACAGACTTGTAACAGAATTAAATCCAGAGATCATTCTGTTTCTCTGTGTCCCGAAGTGTTACTAAGACACTGTTCTTTCTTTGGTGTAAACCTTTCTAGTTTCCTAGTCTCCAAAGAGGATTTTAAACAGACTAGTAACTTAGTAAAAGGATTAAATCCAGAGTTAATTCGTATTCTTTGTGTCCCAAACTATAGTAGTGTCACTGAGACACGTTTTTTTGGTGTAAACCTTTCTAGTTTCCTAGTGTCCCAAGAGGATTTTAAACAGACTAGTAAAAGGATTAATTCCCGAGTTAATGCGTATTCTTTGTGTCCCAAACTATAGTAGTGTCACTGAGACACTGTACATTCTCTGGTGTAAACCTTGCTAGTTTCCTAGTCTCCCAAGAGGAATTTAAACCAGACTTTGAACAGCATTATATCGAGAATATACATTTTCTCTGTGCCCCAAACTATGGTGTCACCAGTGTTCTCTCCCTGATGTAAACCTGTCTAGTTTCCTTGTCCCTCAAGAGGACTTTAAACAGACTGTGAAAAGAATGAAATCCAGAGTTAATTCTTCTTCTCCTTGTCCCAAGCAATGGTCAATGAAACCACATTGCAAAAGAATTAAGTCCACATTTATAGTAATTCTTCAGATCACTACATGTGAGCTAGCAAGATTCAACATAATTAACTCTTGATGTACTGTAATTCTTTTAGCACCCTATGTTGGATCAAGGATTGATGGAAAACACTTGATCTGAAGTTAAATCTTTCTAACTCCTGAAATCAGTCCCTACCCAAACATAAGTGACATGATGATTATTTTACCCAGCTGGTGAGCATCCGACATGGCACCTGAGGCCCATGCGCCTTTGGGCGTGGAACGGCCACAAAACCTTTGGCAAAACGAGGAGAAGTTGGAGCGATTCATATACCCTATAGCCATCTATAGCCATCTATAGCCTATCAAATGATTTCAGAGTAGTTTTAATTAAATAGATTATAGCTTCTTGTTACTACTAGTAAGGCACTTGTTACTAGAAGCGATGCACTTGTTACTACTAGCTTTTATTGATGCTTGAGGGAAGGCCATTTCTTCGTTTAGACGGGTGCCCATGTTTGAACACGAAGGCGTTCTCCACGCATCCGAAGCGGTCCTTCAGACGTCGAGAGCGGTCGGAAGATGCCGTTGGACAGGTGCTTTTTTTGTTCTGTCGGTCAACAAAAACGGTTTTTTAATGAGCCTTTGAGGTGTTCTTTTGGCTCAGAAAGTCGAAACTTGGAGGAGATCATTCTAATTGCTAAGTCTTGTTTCTACTAGTTACTAGCTTCTTGTTATTAGTAGTAAAGCACCTGTTACTACTAGCGTGGCACTTGTTACTAGTAGCTTCTTGTTTCTACTAGCTTCTTGTTACTAATAGTAAGGCTCTTGTTCCTAGTAGCGATGCCAGGAGCCCCTAGTAGCGTCCTAAGGATCATTCACTTTGCTTTTGACACAGCTCACCATGTTCTCGGGACATCCGTGTCCGACAGTGACCGTTCCTCTCATGACTCCGTGACCGTCCTCCACCGGCCTCAGGAGGAAGAAGTTCTGCCACAGAAGGCCGAGGAGCTTCCACCTTTGGCTGTGGAAGTTTGGTCCCTCAACCTGCTGGTGGGAAGATCTGTGGAATTGAGTCAAAAGCATCGTACTTGTGCTTGGATGTTCATTTGCAGAAAAGGTTTACCAACAAGTCGTTGATCAGTTTGATTTTTTGGTTTGGCTGAATCCGTTTTTGGGCTACGAGCCACAATCCCAACGTAGCTGGATATTGGGCGCCGTGTGGCATAGACTAGGACAACTAGGATGGAGGAAAGGGATTTGCCTTGAGCACCCAGCACAGTCTTTGATCTTGCAGCAAAGAAGTCGGTTCAAAGAGTTCAAACAAGTCCAGCACTGGTGGCAGTGACCGGCAGTGACTTTCAAGTGGAGCCGGCTTCGAATTGACGTCCGAGAACTGGAGCATGAACATCCACATTATGACATTCACAGCGATTTCAGGTGGAGGTCATCTTGGACCCTCAAGTGCGAGACCCAGTGACCCTGAAGAGGGTCTCAAGTAACATTGCAAGTTCCAGAGGGTCTTGACATCAGGCGGGGTGTCAGTGTATCCATTCTTCTAATCTGTTAAAAGATCTAGCAACGTCGCGTTCTCGCTCAGTGGGCGATGCTTTTTCAGGTGCGGATGGTCGAAGTACTGAAAATTGCGGAAGGTATCGGCGAGGAGCCTCCCTTGGGGGCGTGTGTAATTTCCTGGAACCAAGCCGCTTCTTGAGCTCAGAGAAGTGAGGGAAATGATCGGAGGAGGAGTCTCAAGTGAATACAGTCGCTAGACCACCTCTCTCAACAACACACTTGTCTCTATGTATCCATGCATAAGGTGCTTGTCCATCAGGCTCAGGCAGCGTCACCAAGACACAAAGTGTTCTATTTGCTGGATTGACCTGCTTCGAAGTCTTCTTCACTGGGCCGAAGCCTTGCAGTCGAAGTCATTTTGCATGTGACAATGTTCTCCGCAGCTGAGCCTTTTGAGCTCAAGCAGCGACTGCCTATCTCAGTTTTGTTTGAAAAACATGTTCCTTATGATGCGACCGATCCTGGTTCTCTTCGCGGTTGAAGGCATTGCCGGCATGCGCAGCAATCAGAGCAAGGAGGAACTGCAGCCGGAGCATTTCATCCCAGGGTTAGACGAGATCAAAGATGCCGTCGGGAAGGCAGATGTCGTCAACCAAGCAAAGGCAGTTGTGAGGGGCCTCTCCGGAGGGGCTTGCCCCGACAGTTTTAAAGGCATCCCTGATGGTTGGTCCTACGGTATTGGTTGTGCATTTGTGGAAAAGCATCTTGCCGGCGAGAAGGGCGAGGGGTGTCATTGTCCCAGTTTCCTCGACGTGTGCGCCACTGCGCCCAGATTTCAGAAAGTTCGAGACATGGACAGTCTCAGGGCACAATTGTCAGTTTCACAGCTTGGCTACTGCCGCACAGGCCAGGGGGTCAAATGCAAATGCACTCTGAAGCGGTGAAATACCAGATAGGATTGCCTTTGCTTCTACCTGCATTCGGGGGTTTCTTTTCTGAAGCTTTAAGAATGATATGCGTGAAATTGAGTGAACATAGTTGTATATTATACTATAATATATTATAATATATTGTAATATATTATATAAATATATGTATATATATATATAGAGAGAGAGAGAGCAAACCCAGCGACCTTGCACACCTTCGGCGGGGTAATACACTGGTCTACCATCAACGGCCCTATGGCAGAAGCATCCGGATTTTGGGGTCCCTTCCAGGTGCTTGGGTCTTCATCGTGAGCACCATCTTTGTGTTGGGGCTGGTCGCTGCTATTGTCTTCCTGGTGATCAAGTGGAGGGGCAGCTGAACGAAGTGAGCGTGCCGATGCAAAAATGACATCTGAACATCTTGATGGAACTTGATGGGGTATTCATTCAGGGTGTTTTGTTCATTGAGGTGCGTCCATGTCTCCATCAAGTCATGCAACTTTGTCCCATTTCTGGCTACTTCTTCATGATAACTTTTTTTCAATGAAGACTCCAACTTGCACAAGGTCCACAACAAAGTGTTCAAGCCCAGTAGAGTTGTCAAACTGTCGTAATCAGCTTCCCTGATGCCCAAGCAAAAAGCCTGAAGGAGCCTGTACAAGTTGTGACCACAGGCCCATTACAAAGATTGAGCCGATTGGGCTTGGGGTGGAATGTTACAGGACCAGCGGCGGCGCTGGCGGCTCACAGTGAAAGGCAAGGAATGTATGACGGTGCTGGCGGCAGCATGTTTGTTCTGTCGCCTTCAGCCAAATGCAATTCATGGAAGTGGAAGAGCTAGTTAGGAATATTTTGGAATATAACTTTCCTCATCTTTCCTCTAGCATCTTTTATCAACTTTGCGCCCTTGAGTCTACTACTGTCACATTTCTTTTTGAGTGAAAATGAGCAGAGGAGTCCTTCAACAGGTATTCCCACCTCAAATGAAACTGCCATCGAACATGGGTGTTTGTTGGGGTCTTGGAAATCCTGCACCGAACAAAGATCGGAGTCATTGGGAGACATGTCGGCCGCCGTCCCTTCTTTGTCGGGCCATGTTAGGAGATACTGCCTCCGCCAGAAAGCAATTGTTTCAATTCAAAAGCCACTTCATACAATAGAAAATATACTATAATATAATATAATATAATATATATATATGTTTTTCTACCATAACACCTTCTTGACATGATTTGAGACGCGCATATCGAGGGAGCACATATAGAAGATTATAGAAGTATATAGCTGCTAGGTTGTATTTTTTTTAAGTACAACAATCGACAGGTGGTATTTGTGGTTTTCCTCGTTTGACTTCGCGAGGCACCAGCGAAGTGCTGCCGACGGCTCGTTGCGAGATCTTCTCAGATGAGCCCTTTGGTCGAGGTCGAGAAGTGCCGGTTTTCGTGAAGGAGGACATGGAGAAGAGCGTGTAAGACAGATTTATGTGGTGTCGATTTTGGTATATATAGTGTTTCTTCTTGTTCAATGCCCTTGTGGGACAGCCTGGAAGAGATCCACAAAGCACACAGTATTTCCAGAGATGACCCAAGAAAGGATATAATCAGGGTGTGCATCTACCTGGAAAAAAGGATGAGAAGTCAATGTCTTGTGGCTCTGGGAAGCAGAATATTAAAAACACCATTCTTCCGACGACAATTCTTCACTCAATAACATGATTTTATATAACCAAATGATGATCATGATTCAATTTTGGCTCAATCACATTCGATCATTAATGCGATGCTGACATCCGTCGATGCTGAGGCTGGGGGCACTGTGGGCAGTTCCTCCAGGCGGGACAGATTGGTAGTTGGGATGACCACTGGGACTGTTTGGAGATCCGGAACTTCAGAGATTTGGGAATGAGGCGTTGGGGAGTGAACAAATGGAAGGTTGTGGGAGCCATATACTGGCCACACTCATTTAAAGGCTTCGCAACCAAATCGTGGTGAGAGGGGAATCCATCGGAAAGGCAAGGTCTTGTAACACTGTGGAACCTGCCCTGCAGGTCCAGAAAGGGCCTCCCCGGAGCAAGAGGAGGTGCCTGTCAAACAGAACGCAGGGCGATGCGATTGATGGTTTGAATACAGATAAGGGTCAGGGACTGCAAGCCAACTTTGAATGCAGTGACGTTTAAGACAAGCCACTAATGAGATGCTCAAAGCATCCACAGCCGATCAGATTCTGAAGTAACCACTCATTGAATGTCGTCCACTCAGCAAGTTGCACATCCATGTTATACATTTCCATGTCGAGTGAAGAGTGCATACAATTATTTTGTATGCATCTACAAAATGTGCAGGCGTACATAATACCTCTGAATACCACAGATTTTGTTTGGGCAAACATACATGGATGCGTGATGCATCAATGACAGGCCTCTCTCTCGTTGTTCACATCTTCACTTGGGTCCTCACGGTCCTCGGCCTCAACTCGACACGCCTCACGCTCTCACACACCGACTTCCAAAACTACAAACGCACTCATTCACTTTACGGATTTATGAAGGCACACTTATGCACTCATTCACTCACTCCTGTCCACCTTCCCTCCTTCCCTCGTGAGGTCATCCCCAAAACTCTCTCCTCTCGCCTTGGTTGTGTCTTTCTGATTCTTTGTCCATGGTTGAAAGGACCAACCATCACCAGAGTCTTTCCCACCCGCAATCTGCCGGCGACCGACTGGGGCCAAGTTGTGAGGTGTCCGTGCAGCGTGACCGTCCTGCGGGGAAGCCGACTCGTTGCGTGGCTGTCGCACGGGTGCCCGAGAGAAAGAGAGAGAGAGAGATGCAACTTGCCTTGTCAGCTGTCATGGTCGGTCATGGCTGATCGTTTGCAAAGAGGCCCCAACCAATTGGTGAACTAATGTGGTCCTCACATCAGAGAGATGGCTGGAGTGTATGCCAAAGTCTCGTGACAAACGCATTAGACTGAGCGGAACAGTTGCACAAACCATAACGAACTGGACTGGCTATGAACTGACCATTGTCAAGCCATGCATAAGGATCACAATTGGGGGCATGAAAACTGTAACATTCTGAACCATTATATAAGGGTAACCGCACAAGCGCAACTGGCCTTTTTTACGCTGAGGAGGCCCCATCAGGTGTTCAAGCCGGCATTCTGGCTACATTGACAGTAGATAGTCACATGTAGTCATTGTGGAATGATATACGACATGGAAGTGGTGAGTGTTTATTTGCTAGGTTGGCTTGATGCACGTGAACAGCCCGGGTCTCAAAGCAGGATCCACATGCTGTGCATGTCATGCTGCGTGTTGTTTCAAGTGCATCTCATGGGACCTTTGGAGCCCTGACTTTGCTGACATGAAGTTACAAGGTATGCTGGAGCAGCTTCAACGCAAACTTGAGGAAAGGTCCCTCAGGACCACATCCTGCAAAAAGGGCCGGAGACGCTGGCAGACTGCTTCACTTTGGCGCAACAATCGAGGCAGTTCTGCATGTGCACCACTTTTGGCTAGACAAAGTACAGATGACAAAGTACAGATGACAAGTGACCAACGTTGGTTTTACCATTTTCGGGGCTACAGAACCAGCTGGCAGCATTTAAGAATTTTGCAATTCTTTAGCATTTTTCTATCCTGATCCATGCAGGTCAAGAGCCCCAGCACATGCTTTTCTTATTTGCAATCATGTTCCTTCCGTCACACCCTCACCCCAGCGCCCCAAACTTTCCCAAAAGCCGGAAGGCTGATCGAATCGAAGGCTTCGCGAAGGACCCCCTCTTTGGCCCAGTTCGATGGAAACCCTTCAAATCCACCCGATCCACTTGTTCACGGGAATCCACGTAGAATTGTTGAATGACCCGTAAGCAGGTAGTTTAGCAGGAGCAGTTCCCAAAGTCGACGGGGTGCACGTCATGTTGATGAACTCTTCCCATTTGTTCACATGAAAGTCGGTGGGAAGATCCGTTGCGAAAACTTCAGACCGGAAGACTTCATGTTTTCTGCCGAACGATCCTTCCGGTCTGATGAAGTGTTTGCTCAGCTTGCTTTTCAGAGGATCAAATCTCGCACAAACCTGGAATGAACCCTGTGAAGGTCCACTTTGCAATGAACAGCGCAACATGGCTCAGCCGGAGATGTTTAATGATTAGTTATCATGATATGTTGGCCTTGTTGTAAGATGTTGTAAGGCGCTTCAACATATGTGAGAGGAGCCGACGAGCCTCTCATTCATGGAGAAACAACAAGCCCAAGCAAAGCGTAGCAAAGCATCGCAAAGCATTCAGAATCCAAAGAGATTGAACATACACTGCGAAGATGGAGAATGATAACATGCTTTGGAAATACAGGACTCGGAGCTGGGCTTGACCAATCGACGAGCGCGGAGGATAGGATTTTAAGCGGTGCTGGTATAGCATGTCAGGTCACATACTTCAAACATCAGACCGGGCTTCCCAAGTCCCAAATTTGAACAGTCTGTCTCAGACCGGGTTTCGGGAGTGAAAGGGAGCGAAAGAAACTCGGGGTCTCCAAGCTCAAAGTGAGTTCAATGCCACTAGACTAGAGATAGTTGCACTAGGGCAACGAGATGAGCTTTCGGGTTTCTGCCTAGCCTTTTTGGCATAGTTGCACTTTTGATATTTTTTGATTTTTTTTGATATCTTTTGATCATTCACAAAAGACAAAACGTAGACCTCTTGTGACAATGTCCTCTCCACAGGTGCCTTTTTCCATGGCAATCACCGAAATCCATGGATCTCAGTAGGTGAATCCACTTTGTCACAAATCTGTCAGGAGGAGGCACTGGGTGCCATTGCTCGCATTGTGCCCCAGCCTGCAGAGTGGACAGGAAGTAGAAAGGAAGGCTGAAACAGAAGGATGCTGCAGTTCCCCAAAAAGAATGGCAAGCAAAAATACAAGCCGTACTTGCCAGGACTTGTTCTTTGATTTCTTTGTTGCCCTGCACCTTCATTAGTCAAATGCAATGATTCTGACTTCCTTGCAGAAGATATTATATTCACCGCTTCTTTACAGGTGAGCCTCAATCGTTTGTCGGAAGGGAGGAATGGCGGGCACATGTTTCAGCAGGAAGGGAGGCCATGTTGGCCTCCCATCCTGATCCAGATCAAACTATTCAACTCAACACCATGGTTGAAATCCATTGGTGCCCCGGCCCATACCCAAAAACATAGAAAGTTTATCCATTTTACCCTGTGCATCAGCGCAGGTACACATTAGCGCTGCCGGCCTTTGTCCTGCACAGGAGTGTCAAGCTGTGTAAGTGGAGTCGCGCAAAGTCCCACTAGTGATTTTGCAAGCCGTGTTGTGGTCTACGACAAACATCCGCGCGACTGGGACATGAAGAGAAAGGACTGGTTGTGGTGGTTGGCACGCCCAAAACAGGTCTGACATCCCTCACAACCTGCTCGGATTAACTGTGGATATGTGCAGATCTAGGCAGATGTTCCATGCCCCTTTCTTTAATAGGCATATATAATAATTATACTACATCCATGTCATGTTGTGTCACCACGTTTCGATGTGCCGTAGCTGCAAGGATTCCACCACTCCGGGTTTCTCCAAGTATTTTCAAGCCGTTTTTGGGGTCCGGGGTGCAGTGTATGTATGTATGTATGGATGGATGGATGGATGGATGGATGGATGGATGCATGGATGCATGGATGCATGGATGCATGGATGCATGGATGCATGGATGCATGGATGCATGGATGCATGGATGCATGGATGCATGGATGCATGGATGCATGTATGTATGTATGTATGTATGTATGTATGTATGTGATTGTATTGTATGTGTATATTATTGACTCAGATGTAGACTCTAATTCTGTGACGTCAGTCTCTTCTTCCTCCCCCGGATCAACGAGCCCAAAGCCGCCGCATTGCAGGACGCCGCCGCGGGCCTCCGCGAGCCGTGCGTGGAGCTCTGTGAGAACGACCCGACCCTGCGATGTGAACGGAGGGTGGTCATGTGAGGTGTTCACTTGAGGAACCGTTGGCCAGGATGATGACAAATCATTTAAACTGTTGGAGTTCTTTTTTAGAAAACGCGACCTGGCCGAGGTGCGGCAGCGGTTCTTTCAGAACACCTGGGTGCGCCCGGATGAGACAATGACACCATCAGATGTTGCTGCATGAACAGATGTAGAATGTCCAGCAACGACACAAAGAATCTCAACAAATTCAAGTCTTGTTGGCGAAGTGCGCTGAATGTGAACGTGAAACATGTCACCAAAGCTTCGGCTATATTAAAACACTTCGGATAGTGATTTCACCACCGTTATCGATTCCATCAGTATCCATTGCTGCTTGTTCCATCGAGGCTGACAAGGACTACATGGACCGTCAATTCTTCGTGGCAGGGACCTTGCATGAGCGGGGTCCCAGTTCCAGTTCCTCACAAACCATGGATGGCTAGGTGGGCATTGGATGCAGCGAATTTGGCATGGTGCCAGAAGGTGGCACGAACACACTCACACCAGTCAGAGAGTGTAAGTCTACAGTGTAAGTCAGAAAGGGATGCATAGACTGCATCCAGCAGCGCCGTTTTGAACCCACAGCTCGCTGGCAAAATTGGAGAAAGTAGTAAGAGGAGAAATTGCCCCAGCACCTGATAACTTTCATCTAGAAACTGATTCCTTCAGCCATTGCTGTTTGCGTTCAGGTCCTGCTTCCGAAGGCCAAGCCCAACTCGGGCTTGACGGCGCTGGAGTTGGAGCCCACGGATGGCCGGCGCCCAGGGACACGTCGGACACCCGGTGAGTCCGAACTCGGGAGCCCGGGCGGGGCTCGGTGGCGCCCGGTGGGGTAGTAGATGTGACTCAGGATTAGATGTGACTGTGACATACTGCGACTCAAGATGAAGAAACCATCGACGTTGATGGGACAGAACTCTGGGACATCGTGAGACCTTGAGACAGAGCGATGGACATCAATCGGTGATGGACATCGGGGCAGGTACATTGGTTTTCTGAGACCTGGAGCCGAAGAGGTGGCGAAGAAGAAATGGTGCCCAATGTTTTTTCCATTTGCGGTGGAGAGCTCTTTGCACTTGCTGTGAACCGATGCAAGTCATATCAAGGATCGTAGTATTGCAGGCTTTCTTTGGAGGCAGCAACCAGGGTTGCTGTCAAAAGGTTTCTGAATAGTTGACGGGATCTAGATTTGATCTCCTCTGGAGAAATAACACGTGGAGGACGCTACGAACGGAGCCAAGGGCATCGCTACGAACGGAGCGATCGGACGCTACGTTCGGGGCGCTCCTGGCCTTACTAGGAACAAGAGGACGCTTTGAGGTTGTCACGTAGACTGATGGCTCCAACAGGTGTCCAATCGCCTCCGTACTGCGTTGGCGAGGTACTTGGATGAGTACATCGCTGTAGGTGGGATCAGAGAAACGAAACACACCTTGACCAGAGACTAGACTGAAGGGGTTTCGTTCCCCACTACGCCCACTGCCCACTACGTGCGTGTCTTTTGAGTGCGTGTCTTCGTGCCTCCTTGATTGATGTAGCGTCCTTGCTCCTAGTAGAAATGCCCTTTGTTCCTAGTAGCGTTTTGTTCCTAGTAGTAAGGCCAGGAGCCCCTAGTAACGTCCTTGCTCCTGCATAATGTTGTCCAAGTTTGGGCCCATGAAAAACCCTCACCCCCACCCACTCAGATGACTTGTCATCGGGGCTGAGCAGCCAGGCAGGACCGTTTTCGAGGCCGAGACGGATCAGGTCAAAAAGCTGAAGAAGGAGGCTGGCTGGAGCAGCTGTTAGCCTACTGTTGATGAATTAAGACAGATCTTGTAAATCCTGTACCGCTTACGACATGCTGGGTTTCCGCAATCCGTGAAAGATGCAGGTACTTACGACAGTCAGATAAGGGGTTTGTCACTTGTCAATCGGTCATAGTCTTTTGACTGAACATCGCAGATGGAGATTCTTTACACACCTATCATCACCTATCACATACAACAAAGTGATAGATATCCCGGTGATATACTGCAATGTCTCATGTCATGTAGCTATTGGCCCAACGACTCGATCGCCCCGAGAGAGCGAGAGAGAGAGAGAGGGAGCGAGAGAGAGAGGGAGCGAGAGAGAGAGGGAGGGTGGGAGGGCGGGAGGGAGAGAGAGACAGAGACAGAGCGAGAGAGAGAGAGAGAGGGAGGGAGGGAGGAAGGGAGAGAAGAGTTGCGAATCTTAGAACCGCTGCTGCGCGTTCAACCATCATCAAGCTGCAGTCTATAATACAATATACAGTAGATTGATGTCCTGAACTTCAGTCGAAGAGACAAGAAAATGCACCACATCCTTGGAAGCTACTCAAAGTCGTTGACTTAACACTGGACACTGTGTTTGTTGATCGTTTTGGTGTTTTAAGCTTCAAGCTTTGACTTCTTAGTTTTGAACCTGCCGGAATCAGAGCATCAATGCGGTCGACTACATAACTACGAGATACTACGAGATACTATGAGCCAACTTCCTTTGCATGAGGTGAGCATTGAAACATCAATTTGGCAAGACTCAAGCGCCAAGCTCGTGACGAAGCATCGCAGCACAGCGCCGAATTCGCCATGGAATAGATTTGGCTTCCTCCAGTCCCCGCCAGTGCCCCCAGTGCAGCTTCAGTGTCTTCAGACGCTGGTTAGAACGCACTCAACAGCACAGAGCTCTGAGTAGAATTTGTTTAGTTCCTAGGCTCCTAGAGCTTTCCCTAGAGCTTTCCCTGCTTCGGGAACGGCTTCCGTTGGAATTCGATCAACGGATGGGTTCATCCACCGAATGTCTCAACGCACCCGCTCCGGGAACCGGTGGCCAGTGGATCCCTGAACCCATCGGTGAATGTACGCCACCAGCGTCACAAGCAATGGCCTGTGCTTCTAGTGGCGTCCTCTTGTTACTAGTAGTAAGGCCAGGATCTACTAGTAGCTTCTTGTTCCTAGTAGAAACTGGCCGATTCAGAAACTGCCGATTCATCAGAAACTATCCGATTCAGAAACCTCGGGTGGGGTAGGGATCCAATGAAATGTGTGCGTGTGTGTTGACGTAGCGTGGACATTCTATTTCTCAGACCCGATTCAGAAACTATCCGATTCAGACCCGTTCTAGTTTCCGAATCCTAGTTTCCGAATCCGCCGTTGACAATTTTTTGTGTGTTTGATCTTTTTTAGGTATGACATGGTATGACATGTAGAAACTCAACAAAACAATAAATACATATAAAACACAGAAACATCCTGCCTAAACAAGAACAACCAATTGTTCTCAGAGAATATTGTTGGGAGTCAAGCAAGTTGGGTCAAGAGAAGACAAGATATTACAAAAAGCTATATAGTTGAGCCCAAGACAAGGCTATTCAGACCGGGAAGGGCATGTTGAGGAAAGAGGAAGAATATGCCAATTGTATCAGCAGGGAATGAGCTGAATAAGAAGAAACAGAGCTAACTAAACTAAGGGCTAATGACATAGGAATATGCCCTAGTGATATAGGAGTTGTGCCGCGGTACGCCTAAGTCATCCTTGAGTAGCTGAGTTTACCAAATCCAACAGAATGGCTGACCCAGGAGAACAGGAGTTCTGGACCTTCTTCGACACATGCACTGGAAAATTCCGTTTACCATCTCCTGAGTTCTTCGACCATCACTTGCAGGCCAGAGATGCAGGACAGAGATTATAGTTGCCACATGCTATTCTGTCCTATGTCATTCTTGGTTGAAAATCAAACACCTAGAGCGTTTACAGCAATCAACATACATGTGACTGCCAGGGTCCAGTTTTTTGGCCTGATGATATACGAGTTCTTGTGTAACAGGGTATCAGTGATTTCCTGATGGCACAGTTGCTTTTTTTGACGATCGTTTCACAACTCCTATGTCACTGGCCTGTATGAGACAGGCAAGGAACAGCCACTCTTGAAGTAGGGGTGTGACAAATCAACGATTTTGTCTCCAGACCATAGAACCAATCAATGACCAAATACCTTGCGATTGAATCCTATTGTATATATTCTGAGTAGCTCCTGACATTATTGAGTGCTTCATTTCCAATGCTTGTTTCTCAATAGACAGGGCTACACACGATACACAAAACTACTTGACTCTTGACCAAGAGAACAAACCCTTGAGAACAGAACGATCTTGTGAAGACGGGGATACAAATTAAAAACCAAAGCACGGAAATAATTACAGCAGTAGATGAAAGATAAGGCAACACAATTCGAACAAAAGGAACAATCAATCAAAAGAACACAGAAATACATCTGAGGTGAGCTATTGCATTCACAGATTAACCAAACCAATCAGGTAGGAGAGAAGCTATCCCAGAGGAGGTAGTCAGCATGAAAGGGTAAGATAAATAAGATGACTTAAAACAGAGCTGAGGAAGAGGCAACATAGATCATGTTTGGGTAAAGAAACAAGTACATATACATACATTCACAGTAAGAAACACAATACAGTATATCCTGTGGTTTGAGCCAGATTTACTTTGATTATGGTAACTCATTCACACCTTTGAGAGCGATGTATTTTAGGCAGGTCGCAGATAATCAGCCAACACGTTGAACATCCGTTCGGGTGGTCAGTATGCTCAGAAATGCCGCGCCACCCAGGTGAGCTTGCCGGACTCCAGTCTATGGAGTCAGATACCAGAAAAGAACTTCTTAGGACTGCCAAGGGTCCCTCAATGTCGGTGTATGATGGTGTATGTACAAACAATCTCACCAACCACATATCACATGACTTGATCAGAGAAATGACTGAGCAGTTGCACTTTTGAGCTGGAAAGAACCGAGTTTCGAGCACCGTTTTGGGAAACTCGAAGACACATCTCTCGACTCTCGATCGCCCAGTTTTGGTGCAAGAAGCTCTCGAACACGCACGTCGCTATCGGCTCCACATCATCACGAAGACCTGTGTTGGTCCAGGATCAGATCCCTCCGATGCAGTCTCCGGTCTCTCGTCCGAGCTCGGTGGCACCCACGCGCGGAGCCCGGCCCGGTGCGAAGAGAACGCAGGTCTGTGGCGAATAGAGCATACTGTTTGTTACTAATAGCTTCTTGTTCCTAGTAACTTAGTAGGTATGGCCAGGAGCTACTAGTAGCGTCCTTGCTCCTAGTAGTAAGACCAGGAGCCCCTAGTAGCTTCTTGTTACTAGTAGAAAGGGAATGGAGCATGCCGAATGGAGGATGCACGCATGGGGTGTGGATTCAAGATAATTCAAGACCCCCCGAAGCAGCGTGGTGTGGTTTTTCCTAACATTTGGCTGGGGGGTTGTGGGGATATTCAATGTTGTACACAGCCTAGTCGTGTCTTCAGCTAGCTTGCTTCATGTGTTGTTGTTGGCAAATGTTGGACAATGGTGGAGGGATGGTCAGCGTTCGCACCCGAAAATGATTGTTAGTGATTCCAGCGCTTGGCTTTTGCAGGAGTTTTGGATGTATAAGTGATATGTAATTATGCTTTTATTTTGTGGTTTTGGTTGACCAAGAATCAGTCCCGGTGTAGATGTACTTTCCCCGATTGATCTCCAAGGGCAGAATGGATTTCATTCTCATTGTGTGCGAACGCTCCAGGACAGCTACCAATTGAATTTACGAAGCCCACCGATGGGTGTGTGTACATGTGAACCCAGGTGTTAGCACCGGCAGGGAGCAGCAATCATGGTGCTAGCATTAAAAAGGCATCACAGCAGATAGACTATGGATGACTAAAGGAACAGTAGAACATGTCAATGTGCCGTAGTGCGCGGTCAGTTGCAATATCTTGGGAATTCCATGGAACTCTCATGCCATCTCAATCAACACTACCTCCCCTTTGAAAAGGAGTTCCCTTCGAATTAAACTCTTCAGCATCAACCATCGTCGGACTTGACCAAATTCCAAGGTCTTGCAGCTTCAGGGCGCATCTCTCAGGGGCCCTAGCCATCTCAATCAACCCATCATAAGATTCATAAGAAATGAATACAGTATGTTGAATGTAGAAAGTCATTGTAATCCCACCAAGCAAGGTGAGGAAGTGCGAGCCAATTCAATTTGGTGTGACTAGGTGTGACTCACAAAACTCCCTTCTGCCGGCTTGAAAAAGGGCCTAAACACGGCCTAAACATGCCTCGTGACCTGGGCCGGTCACTGGGCCGGCATGTGCAAAAGCCCGGAATCGTGCGTCGAAAGTGCATGGTGAAAAATTGTGTATTCGATTGTGCTTCGTAGTAAGGGAATAGCTTTCAGAACACTCTTTTTGTGTCCATGATCATGAAAGCTGAAAGAAAGAGGGAAGATCAGCTGACGACCTGACCGAGGCAATCTTGGGATGTTCACTGCTTCTTCTAGGGGTCCGGAACCGCAGCTGTCCCCACAGGGGACTCAAAGGGGTCATACGACGGTCATACCGTTTCACTTGTGTCTAAGAAAGTGGAGAGACCGTCCAAGATGGCACCAGCGTTTGGTTTGGCAAGAAGAGGATGTTAAAGGGATTCTGCAGATTCCTGTTGTTAAGCTGCAGCCGGCTGTAGCTGTGAAAGACTGAGATTTGCTATGTGACCTTCATGAGCACCATGCCCTTGGTTGATGAGCCTCCAGTGGCTTGGCTTTAATACCTTTAATGACCACGGGAGGAAAACGCGGTCGCAAGTCGCGAATAGGATCACCTGATAGCTGATAGCTAAAAGTATCCAAAGCCCTGAAAGGAACCACCGGAGATGTCGCAGAATGGGTTTGTTTGTCGGGTCCACAGGATTGCTCGCTTTTTCCTTTG